TTTGCAAATTGGATCCGTCATCAAGGACAACCCCATGTTCGTTTTTTTAAATATCCGAAGTATTCCCATACTGCAGACATTAACTTTTTTTTCGGCGGGGATAGAGATTAGATATTATCTCTGTCATTTTCTCCGCTGCACGCGCATGTAACTTTAAGCAGTCAAGTGAATGCAGAGTGAAGCAGCCGAGCGAAATAAGTTGCATGAGCGCGGGTGATTTTTTTTCATTTTTTTTTTTTTTTACCGTAGATATGCAAATGTTTACGGTATGATAACTGTGCACTTTCAAACCGTGATAAACCGTCATACCGGTATATCGTTACAACCCTAGGTGTGTTGCGTCTGGAGTATTCACATTCATTTGTCTCTTCTGCACTGATGTGTTCACTGGTGGAACTAATCTAAACCAGAGCAAAGGTAATGTACATTAGTAAAACACAATGTGTGATAAGATACCGAAATGCTTGAAAACACACACTTTAACCAAAATCCCCCAATTTCAATAGGCACTTGGCACTTACATAATCACATCACACTGCAGCTTTCATCCATGCTCACTCTCTTTCTGTGAGTGGGCAAGATGATCTGATCTGCAGGCAGGATTTGTCATACACAGAGTCACACACACAACGAGAGAGAGAGAGACACACACAGAGAGCAACAGAGAGAGAGGTTTAACTGGCCCCTGACCTCAATCTGAATTGAGGACAGATCATGCGTGCTGAATGTCTGAGCTATTGTAGACGAACTTTGCCCCTGTACCGCTGTAATGTTCTCTGTCTCTGCTCTTCCGCCATCATTCCATCTCTCTGTCAGTCTTTCACTCACACAATTACCAACCCTCTTCCTTTCCATCCATCTTGCTTTAATCTCCCTCTGTCCCTTATTATCTCTCTCTTTCTAGAGGATAAAAGGTGATAAGACCTCAAAACATCTTTTCAACCCCTATCACTTATGTCATCACAAAACAACACAAAAGGCTTATGTCTTTAAAAGACCAAAAACAGACCATAATTTACACAGCCAGAACTAGACCAAAACAAAAAACTACAGACTACAACTGGCTCAGGTGCATTTGATTCTTTAAATTTTAAGAAGTAGGGCTGCATTTTCAATTGTAGAACATTTGATTGTGTATGCTAGGAAATTCTAAAAGCACTAGTGGTTTTCATCTTACTTAAGATGCCCATCAAAAAAGAAAGATGACAGTACCGCAGTGGGGAAGGAAAGGATGTGGAAGAGCAGACATACACACCTTACCCAGTACCCACACACAAACACTTTAGTATTCAAGTTAATCCATCCTACCAGCAGCTCTCGGTATCTCAGGGGGTGTTAGTCCATCTCCTGTGAGAACAGCCAGCTCTACTCTACCAGGCTCTGATTATACAGCTCAGCTCACACACACACACCACATTTTTAGTTGACTAAAACTTGACTAGACTAAAAAGAGTATGAACGTGACTAAAACTAATAAAAACTAAAATGACAGTTTCACACAAAGACTAGACTAAAACTAAAATTAAAACAGGCCGCCAAAAACAACACTACTTCTTACATGGCAAAAAGAATCACAGCATGGAGGAAAGGAAAAACATAATATTTTTAACCTAGCGTGCACACACACACACACACACAGTCAAACTTATTTGTATACTTGGATTTATTTGTACACTTGGAAGTAGCAACAGATCTTTTCTTCCGTATTGTGATGTACATCTGAGAGAGGTTACCAGAGAGAAGTCTGTCATTTCATCAGAAGATTGAGTAAAGATATTTTGAATAAAAATTTTAATGGCAACATTGATAAAAAAAGAAATACACACGGATGAATTGTTCACAATAAGACTGATAATATACAAAAACGTTAAGGTGAATTTCAATTTCATGCTGACCTCGTAGACCAAATAAACAAACAGCTAATATGGCTCCTTCTTTGATGGGTACAAACTAGGGATGCATGATATATCGGCCACCATATCGGTATCGGCCAATAAATGTTCATTTTCACCGTTATCGACCCAATAAGAAAATTTGGCCAATAATTAAAGGCAATAATGCACTACTTCATTCAAAACATTTCAGATGCACACTGTTCGTCATGATGGTTTTTAATTGCTTGAAATATGATTGGAATCACTTCGAAAAGGGCAAGTCTGTCAAGGCTACATAAAATTATAATGAGAACATTACTGTAAAATAATGTTGTGGAATCTTTGTGCACCCATGTTTCAGCCTGTTTTTCTAGGAAGAGCACATCCGCAACCTTTTGTGTAACTGCACACTGTAATACTGTGTTTATTATGTGTGTGTGTATATATTAGGGCTGTCAAAATGGCTGAAAAACTAAATTAGAATTTTGTACTTAAATATTATCAAAATTCAAATTATATTCGAATTTAAAATGCATAATTTCAGTTAGGGTGAAGAAAAGCTTTTGGATTCTCTCATGAGGCCACAAGAGGGCGCATCGAGTAAAATATTACTAATGCACGTTTCTTCAAAGCATAAGATAACATGACTATCTGTGAAAAAAAAGTGCATAATGTTTAAAATAATGTTTATAAACCAATTATAATTAAGTTGCTTAAACTATAAACAAAACTGCATCATGTATGTATGCATAGTTTAATACATAGGGCTGAAAGACAATCACAGAGTACCTATTTTACATTTAAAGTCCCCCTGTGATGAAAATTAAGTTTTTTATGTTGTTTATGTGGTGTTTTTAATCTGCTTTAACGAGTATTTTCTCGTTAAAACTGTAGTTCCCCAAAGGCAGTCACAGAAACGCGGTTTGAAACTTTTTTTTGCTATGTCACAAAATTCAATAACCAATCAAACAGTTATATTTTTTCTGTAGATGTTTCGCTAACCGTTAATATTTCCCCTATTTTCACGATGTCATGTGCTGTTAGTGCTTATTTATTTGTATTTAGAACCGCTAACTTGAATAATAACCCGCGGCAGCAGTGTAAAAGTAGCCCGGAGTCAGACGCACCTCTCCCGCATTGACATCCGCACGTCACACGCGTTTTGATCGCGGGCGCGATTTGGAATCACAAACTTGGCTGCATTTGAGTCTTCACGGCATTTTGAGGACACAACATCATCAAGTAAGTAAATTTAAAGGGGTCATATGATGCTGCTAAAAATAACATTATTTTGTGTATTTGGTGTAATGATATATATATATATATACTGTATATGTATATATCCAATTTATCTCATATAGAATTTGTTTGGTTAAGTTAGAGCAATAATAGAGCACTTCAGTTTGCCGGTGATCATCTTTAGCTCAGCGCATGGCAGCTCAAACAGCAGTGCACAACATTTATAACTATGATTGGGATTGTCATTTATATAACATTATAATGAGAACACTATTATAATAAAACGTTGTTTAGTTTCTGTGTTTCATATCTGATTAATCTCATATAGGATGCGTTTCCTTGAGTTAAATAAGCTGATCGCAAAGCACTTTTTTACCGGTGTTCATTCAGCTCTTCAGGTTCAGCACACCCAGCTCAAATAGCAAATTCTTCTGCTCACATGCGCTGATAATAATAGTTTGCCAGGGTTTTTATATTTTCTGCAGCAGAAATATATTACTATTGTTCAGCAGAATGAACATACTACTACTACTACTAAAATTATGAAAACTGAGAAAGGAAAAACCCTGTTTGCAGGACTATACATTATTTGGATAATTAGTCAAAAACAACAACAACAACAGTTATGTCTGATTCTGTTGCATAGAACGGAATAAAAATAATACATTGATATTTAATATTAATATATTTTCTGTCCAATTTTCTTTCAATAAAAGTGTGGTTATTTTAATGGCTTGTGTTTTTTAAATTCCGTGTCATTAAAATTGAGTTAAATTAAAAAGTCTTACAAAATTACTTTATATTATTTAATAAAATAAATAATTATTACAAAGCATTTTCAATTTCAGTTTTCGACCAAGCACATCCAGAATTCTTGGTTTCGGCCCAGAATTTTCATTTCGGTGCATCCTTACCATTTACTGTAACTACATACAGAGCACTGTGTTTGCAACCACATGCTCCTTTAAAGGATTACACACACACCAGTATGCAGAGAGACATTTAAGAGGGTTTATTCTCCAAATAACTTTAAATTCATGTTGCTGAAAAATGTGTTAATAAATGTTATGTGTATGGACTCTTGTTGTTGTTCCACGCTAGCTTCCTGCCCACTAATTTTTGCCTCTTACAAAAGCCACAAAGCCTTCTAAGAAGACAGTAAAGGCTCATGTAGTTAGGCTGAAACTTGAAAGTTAAGTTGCACAATGTTTAGGTTTTAATATTTTGCAACAATAAGGTTGCAAAGGTCTTGAGAGAGCTCTTTGCTTTCACCCATCATGAAATGTTTCTTGTGTGACACGTTGGTAATGAGACACCTTTTTATAGGCCATCAGCTGGGACTGAACCAACTAATATTAAATTCCACTGACTAGGGGAATTGCTTTCTAATTACTTGATAGATTTCTGCTGGTGTCTTGGCTTTTAATGCCTTTTTGCACCTCCCTTTCTTCATGTGTTCAATACTTTTTCTCTGGGTCATTCCACTTTATTACACAGAACTTAATTTCTTAATTTGTTTTCTTTGTATGTATGGATTACTTGGGTTGTTATCGACATCTGGCGAAAATTTCATGTCAACAGCACCTTTAGAAATATATTTACTGAGAAAAATGGTGACGTGTTCAATACTTATTTTACCCGCTGTATGTCCAGCCTAATAAATGCTTCCCTAAAGCAGCAACTTAAAAGAGAGTGATAGTTTCCTTCAATGTTGGCCATTGCTGTCACAGCCTTCTGCCATAATTTTGAAGGCTCAACAATAGATTGTGGGCAAAATGGGCAGCTAGCCTGAAGGACATAAATGGACAGGATTGAATAGACAAGATCTCAGTGCAAGGCAGCTCTGGGAGCCACAATATATTGTCTGTTCGTGTGCATGTTTTGTACCTTTCACTGCCTGGCTGAAATTCAGAGAGAAGGGATGGTCTGCGGCGGTGAGGCTGGGCCAGGGATCCATGGGACAGATGGGAACCATAGTCCCGAGCGTGAGGATGGTAGTCCACCAGTCCACCAACATCCTGAAATAAACACATGACATTTCACATACTCGCATAATGAAATTGTATGAAGAATGCGACTACTGAAATATAAGATAAATTATACTATCCTAGATAAAATGCAGATGTTTCCAGATTTAATCATGCTTTTAATGACATGAAAACCGGAAAAATATCCCAGATCAGTGCTAAATGCTGCGAGCAATTAGCCTAAATCTTTGGTACTCAAACCAAAGCTTATAGATATTATACAGACCTTTAGTTGCAGCTAAAAGTCTTACTTTTTGCACAAAACTGTTCACGTCATATCAGTCGTGCACCTACTCTGGAAAGTAATCCATCCACGAAAATTAACTTCAATCAAGAGTCTCAAACTTTGAAGTGTTACACAGTTACTAGTTATATTGCTAGTTTAGGCTAAGTTCTACTAACACCAATATTAGGATTACCACATTTTTGGCATCAAATGGTACAGGAAAACATGAACATCTGCTTTGTGTCAGACAAAGGACATATTCCAACATGAACAAAGGTTTGGAGGATGAAGTGTTGTTCCACTTGGCTTCTGAGCTGGCTAGGCTTGAGTGCCACTGATTTAGATTTTCTGTGTGGTTAATAAGACCAGACAGTAATCTATGCTGGATGAAGATGATGGCTGAGGGTCAAATCTTACGTGATAATCTTCAGTAACGCAAGATAGTCCTTTGTTACTAATTTCTGGTCAATGATCAGATCTATATGTACATCACAATAGTGTGTGCATGTTTAGTAAGGTGCATAATAGGGATGCATCGATTCGATACTCCGTATCGGTATCGGCTCCGATACTGGCATTTTCTGCCGGATCGGGTATCGGTCAGACGAGACCGGACTCCTATCTATCATATGTTGCTGCCTTCATTACTGCGCTATACATTTAAATGAAATTACTTTTAATTTTATAGTTTATATTTATAAATAAATACATTTACTTGTTTTCATTAATGTATTTTACAACAATACAAAGAGCAATGTGTAACATTTTACCAGATTTAGTCCTTCACTTATTCACTTTTATTTGTTCCCTACTAAATAATGTTATTTCATTAAGTTTGTCTATATTTAGTAGATTGGTTTAACACACAAAAGAGTGACGATCAGGGTCAACCACAGAAGTTTAGAAATTCTACACTGACTTAAAAAAAAACTGTGCCTGGATCGGATCAGATCTGAAAAAATGTTATCGTTGCGTCCCTAGTGTATAATAGAAGATACAGATTACTACAACATAACATTTTTTCTTAGCTCACAGGTCAGAAAGTCCAAGGTTGCAGATTAGTGATAAATAAAATGCATTTTTGGAAAGATTTTGTTTTATAGTCAGTGCAGTAGCGTACCGTATGGGCTCTCAGCTGCAGAGGAAGGGTGGTGGGACTAGAAAGGTGACGAGCATCCACAGCCCTCCGACCCTGAGGCACTGACTGAGGGTAAGAGGACATGCTGACGATGCAACTTCCTCTACACACTGAAAGTGGGTGTGGTCTTGTCACAAACGCTGTGCATCATGGGGCGTTGGGTCCTGGCAGTCACCGACCTAAAAGGAACGAGAGAGAAAACATTAAAGATTAATTGTTAATAATAAATATTTGTTAACACAACAATCAATCTGTGGAGTCAAACAAAATTGTGGACAAAAACATACAGTGTGCACCAAATTTCGGAAAGCCAGGATAAGCAACTGTGAGTTTGATGACAAGTGAGAGAGAAAGTGAGCGAGAGAGAACTCCTAGCCACCACCTGCTGCTGGCCGGATACATGTCGGCACACTGTGTGAATGAATGGATCACTCTGTATTCCCTCTATATCCTCCTCTTCTTCGCTCTATCTCTTTCTATGCTCATTAGGGCAGCTGGCGTGCTCTGCTGCATGATGATACTCCCTTTTTCACAGATACAGCAAAAACACAAAGTATGGCTAAACCAAGTTAATGTTCAAAGTTTATTTAAGGCAAGTCTGTTCACCCAGCAACTATCATGGTAACATCCCTATGTAGACCATTAGGCATGCAAGTACAGCTCATATCTACTTAAATAAGGACAGACAGATCGCATTAAACAATGCCTAGATCATTTAAAATTTACGTTAATTGTGAAAGCAGGTTCAAACTTACTGTAAAACATGTGCATAACTCACATAAAAAGACTTACAAGGAGCTGTTATACAACAGAATGTGTTTCACAGAGACAGCTGAGAAAATATCAGCAGAACTAGAATGAAACCGCAGAATAAAAGAACTTTGCCATACTTCACATTTACCTTACATTAAAACGCATTTAATCTACCTAATTAATTATGCACTAATTAAAATGCAATTAATTAGTTCAGTGATGCTTTGGGTTCTCAAAGCATCACTGAACAGTCAGACGAGAGACTGGAGGCAAGAAAGAAAGCACTGCAGTTGTAAACGTTTTGATAGTGTCAGCCAGAGGTGGTGGTTTCCACCACACCATAAACTGGAGACAGAAAGAGCAAAGCACCAGGTGTTGAGAGCACCAGGCAATGCTTGAGAATACAACAGCATACCTAGAATCATACATGATGCTGTCAGCCAAATCTGACACAAATCTTGGTAACCAGTTGGATATACAAGAACCTTGCCAAAGTTTTGCAAAAACGTCACAAGCAAGTGAGATCTACAGGATTCGCATAATGTTAAAGCAGTGACCTTACAAGAACCATCACAAGCAGATGTTACCCGCAGGGTTACTTTGTAACATGAAGCCAAGTAGTGTGAATTGTTATGTTTAGATGTGGGCCTTCTTGTAGATTTAACTACTGTGGTTTAGGTACACAATACAGTTACACAATACATGTAAAGCAAATTAAATAATTAACCTGTTTCACCGGACTAATGATTGGCATTCATCAATGATTTAATTTTCCTTTCATATTTTCGGCATATTTTTAGCTTTGAAAAATGACCCCAAAATTAACAGTTTTGGCATGAAAAAAAAACATATGTTAGCCGAGTTCTCCCTTGTTACTCCATCGCTAAACAGTCTTTAGCTATGAATTTTTAAAAATTAAAAAAAAAAATGTTGATATCAGTGAGGTATCAAAGATATACACAATTTGAACGTTATATAACGAAAACAAACCATAATGCAAGTTAAAGAATAGCACTTTACACTCTGTGGCTTCAGATAAACGGGAAGTAGCGCTATCACACTAATAAACACAAATGCAAACAGATATGCTTCTCTGAATGTGCTTTTCCCTCTGTGGCTGCTGTGTGTCATTAGCCCTCCTGCTCAATACAGACATACAACTCAAGGGGCCTCACAGCTTCTGACAAAAACACAAAAATTACCATGTGAAAGAAGTCTGTCTCTATAGATGAACAGTTGTGTGTACATTATCTAAAACAAGGTCACTGAGTGTTGTCAAATACGTTGACATTAAAACAAGGAGTCAGGAGGCCCTCTGCTCTAAAGCCCTGTAGCTCTTCTACGACACAAAGAGGGGCACGCTACCGTCCTCCTTCCTTCCTGTCTGTCACTGAATGATTTACATGGAAAGAGCAGTGTTTTTTGGACTGTGCTGGGGGAGGAGATTCAATAGTGCAGGAATGTTTGGAGCTCTGAGGAATAGAAATTCTTTGTCATCCTGAAGGCACTTTGTAGACTCACACATACACATGAACACACATGTAATATCAAATCGATCACACATTACTCACAGAAAACACAAATCTGATGCGTGTTCCTTGTTTTTGCTTTAAAGGGGTCATATGATGCTTTTTTAAGCCGCTGGCTTACACTGGTCACGTTAACGAGTGTGTCTAAACGACAGATTTTACTTCCAAGTTTTAAAGGGGTCATATGATGCTTTAAATATTATTATTTTGTGTATTTGGTGTAACAGAATATGTTGACATGCTTTAATGTTCAAAAAACACATTATTTTTCAAATACTGTACATTATTGTAGGTCCTATATGCCCCGCCTCTCTCAAACGCTTCGTTTTCTACAAAGTCCCTCCTTCCGACAAGCGCAGTCTGCTCTGATTGGCCAGCTGAACCAGTGCATTGTGATTGGCCGAACACCGCAAGCACTCGTCGGAAATGTAACGCCCCTTACCATAATCGCGAGCTTCATCTTTCAAAATAAATGTAAAGACAGAGCCCGAAAGGGGAACAGAGTCGCGTGACAGACACAGTGACGAAGCTGGTATGTGTTTGCAGTACACAAGCCATGGTTAAGACAGCTGACTCCACTGTGATGTGTCCCTGTCTCTCTCTCGCTCTCTCTCTCTCACACACACACACAATTTTTTTTGCCATTGCCCTTTGCAGTTAGGACTTCTCCTCCAGGTGAAGGAACTTCTGTGTAACTACCACAAATTCCTGTGGATAGTAGTTTACAGTATTTAGCTGGTCACTACATGAAATGCAAACTCTCATACATCAGAAAGAACTTTTAATAGAATCAAGTGGTTATTACAATTACAATTAGCCTTTGCATTTTGGGTTTAATCACATGGCGATTGACAGGCTTCACAAACCGGCCTCCCAAAGATGAGTCCCAGAGAATGAAGATTTATTTAAAAAGGAAGGCATTGGGTGTGAAGCGCACATGCGTCCAGTTTGGCTGATCTACTGGCACAGTATGAACTGTGAAAATCTGGAAACAAACTTACCACTGTTTTCTTGGCATCGTCAAGCTTTGTGAACGAAAAACCACAACTGCTATGACAGACATAAAGAGAGACTGGGAGAGAAAGTGAAAGGTAACAAGAAAAGAGGAAGAGAGAAAGGAAAGTAGGAACAGTGAAAGACTTGGAGAGTGGAATGAGAAAGAAAAAAGGAGATATCTCTCTATGAGAGAGAGAGAGAGAGAGAGAGAGAGAGAGACTAGGCCCTCAGACAGAAGGGGGAAACACATGCCCTGGCACGGATACAGACACCCACAGGCAAGCTCATGGCTGCCTGCCAACAGCACGAATGAACTCACTTAACCCTCGCTCTCTCTCTTTTCTCTCGTTCTCCCTCTTTCAATCACAGTGCTCACTCATTCCCAACTCTTTCTTCTCCCTTTCTAGGAGAGGCTGGCTTTTGTATGATCTCTCTCTCCCTTTTTTCTCTACACCTCGCTCTTCCGTTACAGCTCTCTTCCTACCTTTTTCCGCCTCTCGTTTTGCTGATAAACACACATGGGCAGCTTGAAAGAACTGGAAAGAACCAGCGCTAACTGCCTTACCATTAACCACTGTGTATTTCTATCTCACACATTTTAGGTTTTGACATCTTTTATTGACTCTCACAAAAGCGGAGTCTGTCATGATGGATGTAATAAATGAGAGGCCTGGCAGTTTGTGTTAGTGCTGGAAGAAAGGCATTAGCTGATGGGCCGCGATCAGGTCCCTCCTGCTGGCCCAGTAATGTCAGAGACAGCATGAGGTGGGGCGGCCGAGTGTGCGTTCCCATCCATCTGCATCACCGACGTCTACGCCACAACATCTCCCATAATCCCACAGCACAAAATGCCACTTCAATCAGCAATGTCATTATCACCTCTAATTTCCCACCTTCAGCATTTAAGCTCGAATGTAGAGACCTGCACTCCCGCGGAAGTACTGCGGGACCTTTTTGATGAGCGAGTGCGGGTGGGAAGAGACTCGTGTGTGTGCGGGATGCGGGAGAATAAAATGATTCGCGGGACTCCCGCAAAATAGAAATTATCAAAACAAAGTGTCTAAAACATATAAATTGTTATTTATCTGTTGGCGCAGGTCTCTACTCGAATGTTCAGTCTGGGTTTTAGTTTGAATCTGACACTCTCTGTGAAGCATGTTGTGTATTAATTAGCACACCACATTTAGACTGTAGAAATGTTGTCAATCTAATTTCTATCCTCTGAAGACAGGCTGTATATCATCCTCTGGTGGAAAAGGAATGTCTTGCGGCATGAATATACTGAGATGCGCAGCTCTTCCTTCTCAAATAGACCTTCTGGTTCCGGGATGGAAAAAATGGCCTGTTAAAACTCAGATCAAACCTAGTCTAAATGAAAGCACTCAATATAGCATAGGTTTACCACACAGCTGCTCCAGCCAATTTATTTTCTGCATCCATCTAAAAAAAATAATTAAAATGATTGGTAATATTGTATAATAATGTTCAATTTATTACCAACAGTTAATGTACTATCTATCAATGAACAAATTTACAGCATTTATAAATCTATAATATTAATTTCAAAAGTCTGGGCTTTGAAAAGATTTTTTCATGTTTTTGAAAGAAGTCTATTTTGCTCACCAAGGCTGCATTTTCTTGATCAAAAACAAAGTAAAAACAGTTATAGTGTTGAATATTATTCAGGGCTCCAGACTCATTCTTCCCACTGGTCGCTCTTTTGCGACTAACTTTCTCAGTTGGTCGCATGAGCACATGATTTGGTCGCAAAAAAATTTTTTTTTTTTTGCGCTACAACATGGGATTAATCAGTGCATGCTGATGAACTTTTATTATAGTTTATAGTTATATGTAAACGAAAGTGGTTAACATTTAACCCGTTGTTTTTCATCAGTAG